TCTTTTAAATGACAGCTTGAGCTGATGCTCAACCAGCGTGGCAGGTTTTTGAACACTTTTCACACTTGATTTAAGAATTTTATATACACATCTGTAATCTTTCTTATAGCCAATCACCTTCATTCATTATGTTTGTGTGAAAATGGCCACTGACTTGACCGTCCTGAGTAACGTACAAACTCAATTTTCTGAATCAGACCTGGATAAGACGACATGGTTGTCCTCATAGACGGAGTTTGGGGTCAATCAGTGGTCACATTCTAAATAAATAAATAAAGACATCAACTTTAGGATGGCTGTCTGCAAAGTTTAGTATTTTCTTTTACTATTGCTGATATTGATACTTGCCAATTTACTTTATTTAAAAAGGTCAAGTTGTCGTTTTTCAGGCTGTTAAAACATTGTGCTTAAATTTACATGCACTTCTACTAGACATGGGTTTGAACATACACATTCAGCAAAGATGATTTGGTTCAACTGATGATTAAAACATGCATGTCTTCATTTTACACCAAGATTTGACTTTACGCAACACTGACTAAGGGCCATTGTTACCAGGAGACACTTATCAGATTAAAATGAACTTAATATTGAATGAAGCAACAGTTTTTAGAATGATATTGACACTTTCAGCAAGGTATGCTGAATGTTGGCTTTCCAGAAACGATATTATAGATCTCGTTTGAACTTGACGTGTGTATTTAGATTGGAGAACTTTTTTTTTTAGAAAGCAAAACAGGGGATTGGGGAAAGCTTTCTAGTTTCCTTTGAAAAGTATTGACAACAGCTATAACATAGCTGAAGTAATACATGCTTCAGTATGGCAAAGTACCTTAATTACCACACCAACACTGACCCACGATAACTTCAGAGGACTAAGTTAAGAGAGGGAAGGGGTCATCAGTAAAGTAGAACAATTGGCAACATTCAGCAAAATTTTCCATAGTTGGCTATGAAATGATTTGTGTAAAATACTTCAATGAAAATCTAAAATCACTTCAGCACTGCTTACTGAGCCAAACAGCAGCTGTGCGTCAGAGAAAGACATCTGTTAGCCTTGTAACGCCTGCAGGATTAACAGGTTCAGTTCGTGCTCGAGATTTGGAAGAACACTGTATGCAAATTGATCATTCACAACTTTATTAAAACCAGTTTGCAACAATATGTACAGAGCACACCACAAATATAAAACAGCTTTACAAAAACAGCCCTATTCCCACTAGGAACTGAGATACTGAGTGGTGGGGGCCGACGGGGGATTCGGGCCCAACCCTGATTCCTCTGCATTTGTCCTCAATTTGTAAAAGCTTTGTGAAAACACTGCAGGCTTCCCACAGACAAAAATCCTGAACACACCCTAGAAAACAAGTGGGCTGGAGAACCCAGCAAGTATAATGCTTAATCCAGCCTTTTCGTTCCTAAAGGGTTCAGGACTTATGGTTGTAGAATTAGCATTAACAGCTGAGCAGTATCAGAGAGTGGAATAGTATCAGTCCATGTAAACATGAAGTACATGACCAACGCATGGTCATGATCTTTATCAAAACCCATCTTTAACCTAAAAACATGTAACCTGTTCATGTAACCTACACTTTTAAAAATAAAGACGCCAAAGTTTTTTGGTGCAACGTTGTAGAAGAGCCCCTTTCGGTCCCATAAAGAACCTTTTAAAGGTATGTGCATTTGTAAATTGTGTGAAAAACCATTTTAAAAGTTCCACTTAATATTCTATACCAATTACGGGCTTTTTTACAACTACACAAGTCAAAGAACAGTTAGGAACCTTTATGTTTAAAAGCATAGTTTAAAATAAGAAGCCTGAAAAGCAAGTAAAGTTACAGCAAAGCAGATAACGTGTTAGCCAAGCTATGGTAAGTAAGCAAAAATGTGATGCAAGATGAGGCACAGTTTCCTTCATAATCATCAGTGATAATATCAAACCAATTCATCAAGAGCAGAAGCTTAATTCAGTTTGACAAGACTTTGCTATCTGAAGGCGGGTTTAAAACAGAAAAGGGGGAACTGCACATCAGCATCAGGGCAAATGCAAAGCCTTGTAAGAGTTTCCCTGGGGGGGGCGCAGGGACAATAAATAAATCAATGTTTAGAAGTGACATTAAGAATATTAATTATTTCTCAACATTAAAGCACAAAAGCCAGCCAAAGCTACATTCTTCACCATAGCAGGAGTTTAACAGTACCTTAAGCCAGAGGGGCTTAACCCAAATGTGACTTAGGGGCGCATTTGTTTTAAGCACACCACATTCCTCAATTCAACTCCTCTGTTCAACACCAAAACATTCATCGACCAGGGAAGACATCAGAATCGGAATTGCTTAACATTAAAACCTGTCTACTACTTGCATGTTGCAAACTCTGCAAAATAGCTTTTAAATTTAAAGAGAGCGATCAGCTCTTAAGAAGCTGTCAGAGCCACCATATCATCCTACAAATGAAAATGGCTTTATGTTCCTAACATGAGATGCAGTGCACTTCAATAAATTTCATCTACTTTCTGAAACACCTTCAGAATCTGAACAAGTTAAAATACCAGCACAAATCTACTAAAATTAGAAGCCTTACAACCAAGGATGGGCTTAAACAGCCTAAAAGTAATAACCGACTACAGATTAGCCTAAAAGGCTACCACAGAGTTCGTTTCAGTAATGTTTCTTCCAAGCCAGCTAAAGACAGCTTTCTTTCAAGCATCATTCACACCGCAGATCCCAGCAGCTGGCACAGAGCAACATCTGCAGACCACAGGAACAGGTACCAACAGAGCAGTGTAGGGCTGGTGTTGGTTAGGTAGGTAGTTATATTAAAATCACTGTTACTTTTAAAATTGACCTTTGAGAAAATTAAATCATAAGCATGTCACAGTTAACAGTTCATCATTAGCCATCACACTATTAGCAAGACAGACCCTGTGCTGTAAGTTAATGTACGGCTACTGTCTGTAAGCCTCGTATTGCATAATGCATCAATGCAATTAGTCTCAAAGCATCCCCCAAAACACAAACAAGCTGCCAAAGAAGTTGCATTATAACAGCCACAAATTTGTAGATTTGATCAATTCTTAAGCATTAATTTACAAAATGTGTACAGTGAAGAGTAATGCATTAATGCATTATAGTATACGGTTTAATAAAAACAAACAAAAAACTTCACACGCTTAGAAATAGTGAAGGAAGGATAGAGAGGATTAATCTTCCTCCTATTAATGTAACTCAGAGGTACGGACGCACAGTGTTGTATCGGTATCGGGGCTTTTTATATAGTTAAGTTGATTTTACTGCATTTGTAAACATATATTGTCATAACTTCATAATGCTAATCCTGGTAGATTTAATCCCAATTTCTAGAGGTCACACAAAAATGTTTATATCAGCATCAGCTGATACACACACACGAAAATTTTCGAACATCAGCATCGGCCCACACATCCTATGTCAGTGCATCCCTACTTATACATCAAGGCAAAGCTTACTAACCAACTGGGCTAGTGAGTGTGCAATGCTTTATGTAATTCATTTCAATATAAGTTAATATACAGTACATAGTTTAGGCCAGCCTCATGACTGACCGTTGTGTGCTGGGTGACTGAAATTTATCTTTTTTGGTGCAATTACGCTTCAGAAACTTTAAGGTCTTCTGAAAGCCCAGTTTGGGGAGCTGGGGATTAAAGTAAACCAAAAAAAAAAAAGAATGAAATATTTAATATTAAATACCAAGAAGTATCATCAACTAGGAGCCTGTGTGTCAAATTGAGAACACTGGTAACTGCCCTGAGAAAAGCATTACTGTGGCAAAAGGCACAGTATAAACACAGTCTACAGCTCCCTGTAATGCACTGCTATTTCACTATGCTAGAGAAATCACAGTCAAATGCAATATGATCACCACAATTCACATTAGAGAAATAAAACCCTTCCCCTCAATGTTACTGAGCTAAAATCAAGCATGATTTTTGGGATTAAATACACTGATGTTAGTATGTGTCCGAAACGTGACAAAGAATCGTCAAAAGAAGAAAAAAAAAAAAGGAATGGTAACAAACATACCAGATCATGTTCATAGATGCAGCCAACAGCCAGACTCAGTCAAGCTTGTCGTTTCACTAAACTAGTGGTTCTCAAACCAGTTTAAGGACCTACCAGATGGTGCAGATGTTTTCAGGTATAAACAGACCCATCACAATTATAATTGCCTGATCGCTATTAGAGCAGTGAGTAGTGTCTAACACCTCTGGAGGGCAGCAGTGAGTAACATTTGAGCTCAAGCTGTCTGTCAATTAGGAGCCATTAGGAGTTAACAGCTAAGAATGAAGATAGCCAATAAGCTAATTTGGTCAGTTTAGATTGACTTTTAAAAAAGACAGTCAAAAACAATTAATTATATGGCAATTAGTAGTCAGCTAAAATTTCATGATTATAGCTGTGTGCCAAGGCCCATCACAATGTGGACCATCTGGGAGCTCCTGAGGACCAATTCGAGAACTACTGCACTAAACTACCATCATTTACGAATGGTTTACTTGTAAAATATTAATGTGCATCAAAACAAATTCACTAGCTGGACAATAGTGAGGCACCCCCAATCCAATGAGCATATAAATAAAAATGTAATAAATAAGTCATCTTTGTGCCAGGTTTTGTTGGAAAGAGGCAACAATGTAGCATTTTGTTTACTTGGTTTAACTTTACTGACTAATCAATATGGATAGTGTGAAATCCTTTCAGTATCCAAGTCTGAATTCCTTATTTATTTTTTTTTATATACACTCATTCCACAAAAAACACCTCAACAACTTTCCATTAGGCTCATCTGATCCACTTCTATAATGCTAGCAACCAGGATAACTGGCTTAAGCTTTGTGGCTCATCTTTATACATCAAGTACACACTATTCAAACAAAAAACCCACATTTAAGTTCTCTCGGTATAAAACAGTAAGAGAAATACAAATGAAACACACGCAAACACCACACAAACTTTAAAATTAATTCAGCTGATTCAGTCTCAGCCCATTAACCCCAACCACCACCCTCCCTCCTCCCCATAGAAGTCCATTTTAATTGAACGTTCACTGGTAAATCCAACCAGTGAACAGTTCCTACACCCCTCATTCACCTGCAGGCTCCTGCAGCGCTCATACCATCAGCAGGTCATCCAGAGGTAGCATGTCCAAGTCACAGGAGTCAAAGAGGTCACTGATGCCCTGCTCGTCATCCAGGCCCAGCATGTAGTCCTCGCTGAGCAGGGCAGGCGAGAGCGGTACAAAAGGCACCAGCTCTACCGGCTGCTGGAGGATGGAGGACAGTGAGGAGCTAAGCGGAGACATGGGTGCGTTACCCGTCTGCGCAGAATGCACGCTGACTGGACCATTAGCATAGCCGCCGTTCATCTGGCCAGAGCCAGCCATTCCGGTTTTAGCACCTTCTGCAAAACAAAAATAAAGTAAAATAAAGCATCACTGAGAGGTTCTCCAAGAACAAAGGATCGGTGGTGGAAATGGCACTTTAGGACAACATGATACCTTTATTCCACTACTGTGTACAACTATAAGGGCTGAGTGGTGTAACAGTAATAAGGTAAACAGTGGCATTTAAACTGACACTGTACTTTAAAAAAAAAAAAAAAAATCAAAATGACGGCAAAATGATGTCACGGCTAAAGACACATTCCACTTATTCATTTTAGAGGGGCAGACTGATTGGTGGTCACTCCGACACTTCTCTTTTACTCTCTCAGGCACCATGCAGTCTGCTCGCAAAGCTAACGTTAACCGATCCCTAAATACCATGAAACAGGTTTTAATTGCAACTTTGTCCATCCAACACCAGCTGCTCAACTTCATTCTCTCAGACCTAAATCATCTAAAACGGGTGTCGCTGCTTTAGTTAGTCAAAAGAAAACCTGCTGTGGTGAGCAGAGCTGTTATGCTCGCCAAGCCAATACTGACCAGCACCTCTCTCCTGGGGTGGTAAATAAAAAAAAACCCATGTAAGCAAACTAAACTTTGATTATTGCCCCACTGAATACGGACAGAATGAGAAATATATATATATATATATAAAAATATATAAAAATAAGTGTTTGTATTATGTTTGAAAAATGTATTTGGGCCAAAACACTAAAGTATCTGCAGCTGTCTCACCACATTCATACTGCATGTATGCATTTTTGAACACCAACACCTCTGCACAGCTCATTCAGCTGTAGAATGCACTTCTGTTGGCGTACGACTGGTTTACCTTTGGACACTCTGAGGAAAGCAGTGTCATTTCCATTCACATCCACTCCGTTGTCTAACGAACCGCCAGGACCACTGGGGTCTGTGCAGAGGAACACATCGATGGGGCCTTTGGAGCTGTTCAGGTGGACCTGTAAACTCTACACAGAAAAGCAGGTTTTCTGTATTTAGCCAACAAACTGTAAACAAGGATTTTGATTCGGCCAAAAACATCACTGCACTTGTTCACGACATGATTTGTACCACATTTTTTACATTTCAGCTTTGTGAACAAGTTGCAACAGAAAATGCACCACCAAAAGTAGCAACGCCACACTGCACAGTAGATCAGTGAGCTTTTAAAATGTTTAGAACTCTAAAATTGGTGTAAATCTCTTTATATCAGATGCAACTGTTTAGCATTGTAGAAGCAGTCCACATAATAACATCACCATATTGCCCTTCCCCATATGTCAGCACTGTCAAAGTAACAATGAGGTTGAGCTTTCATCCCTAACTTCCCAAAAAACAGGTTAACAAATTAGATTAGCTGGAGATAAAATAACTATGATACAGAAATGAAGAGCTTTACCTCTTTTGGGTCCGGCACCTCCAGCTTTGTTTCAGATGGGGCCTTAACAGCAATTACGGTTTGATCCTGCAGGCTTTTGATTCTTCTGATGTCTTGATATGTGACATAGGCATATGTAGGAGTAGATAAGGAAACTATGCAGATGGATAAATCAGAGTGGGGGGGGGGGCTTCAGAAACACACAAGCTACAGCAATGAAGACTGGACAGGTTCTAACAATAGGTCTTCATTTCAGGTGCACAAGCCACATTCTGGAAGATTAAAACAAGGACAAACTTGCAAAACTAACAAATCCGAGATATAATACTGAGATTGTCTTGCAACTGATACACAGTGAACTTATACAGCGATCACTTCAGAATTTTGCAATACTGATATCGGTGAAGTCAGAGCCATCTAATTAAATTTGTGTGTGTATGTGTATATATATATATGGCTGTAATTCAGAAATGTTCACAGGTCACTTCATGCAAATCTGAGTGGAGTCTCTAGTCTCCAGGGTACAAGTTAGAGTAGAGTTTGTAAGTACACTTCCTAGCTACCATAATAGCTAAGCCAGCTGAAGCTTTAGTGTATTTTAAAGGAATGCAACCTGCAACTTACTAAAACTTAAGTTAGCTGACATCTTGTCCAAAACTACAGTGAGATTCACTCGAAAGAGGCCCTGAATATTCTGTAATAACTCTCTCTAGGACGAAACAATCTGAACAAAACAACGTGCAATGTGCAACTCAGTATATGGAGCTTTGAACAAGCTGGGATGTCCCTGCATCAGAGCGATGAGGTAGGCGCCGGACAGCCATCGCAACGTTTAACCTCCGCTTGCATATACCCGTACCCCTTCCTGTGTCTAGCAGAATCATATCACATGTAATGCAAATCGATTACACGTACGTCAAGGTATGTAGCTTATTTTTTTGGTTCAGATTGCTTCATCCTAACAGGAGTCACAACAGAATATTCAGGGCCTCTTTCGAGTGAATCTCCTTGTAGTAGTGGCTAACTCTGCTTCTTTCCCGTAAGGAGAATTACGGTCATTTTCTTTTCCTGATTCTCAGGTCATGTCCATAATGACTCGGGAGCTTTTCCATAACTAGCTCCACGGCCAGAGCAATTTTAATGCCCAAGCAAAATCCAGAGAGACCATAACTTCCCTGCTGATATGGGGTGATTCCTACATTTAGGCATTTTCCCATTTCCAAAAGAATGAATTGTGTGGCAAACTTTGCATTTACTACTATTTACTACTATTTAGTTCACTTATTTAAAATTAACCTTACTGCATTAAGATGAGCGGTCTTAATTTCTTTTCCTTTCCTGTGGCTAAAATTTTGTAAGTCGTGAGTCTCTAGTCTGAGTGAAGTCACAAGTCAGGTCAACAGGCAGCTCGAGTCAAAGTCACAGCTATAAGCATCCCAAATAAGCTCTGGGCATGCTTAGCTGAACTGAGACCAAAGCAGGCCTTTTTCACTTCAAAGCATTCAATTTCTTATACATTCCAAGCCCCCCCTACCCCCAACATCAATTCAGACACCTATGCTTTGTCATCCACACCTAAAACACAATAACAGTACATGTGGCCTGGAGCAGCAAAGGATATTTTTGGTTGTGTGTCTCCTCGGTCATCTGCTGGACATTGTTAGCACAGGCCTGAATGAGCTCATCTAGTCGTCTCTCCTCCTCCCGCAGGGCCATCATCTCTCTGCTCAAAGTCTGCAGAGGGGGCAGCAGAGTGAGCGGCCCTGCATCTGAGGGCAGGCTGGAACCCCTGAAATAACCACAGCACATGATCTTCAGAAATGCCCATACGAGCTCATCTATAAAGATGACGAGGACAAGGAGCCTCAACCACTACTCAGTTAAGCCTGAGAAGCATGCGGCTTCCATCTGCTACACACTTACAGCCACTGGATGTTGTTCTTGGACTTCTTTTTGATGAGGCGCACGCCCTCCAGCACGTTGGTGATGTCATACAGTCGTCTCTTCTGGACGTTGAGCACGTCAGCAGCCTGGTTCAGGTCCAGCACTCCATCTGAAGACTGTGCCAGCAGCTGACAGAACTTCTTGGTCAGGAGGCCCAAAGACGTGTCGTAGCGCGTCTTCTCCGGTGGCGTTTTCGGAGCTGTTAATCAAGAAAAGTGTCAGGTTGAGGCACCAAAATAGCTCAGTTTTCTTTTGTTAACTTAAATACGCAAAGGATTGTAAACAAGACTTATCACCGACTTGGTCAGCATTTGGGGTGTAACAAATCGCACTTAAGGCTGTGTTCAAAATATTGACAGAGCAACAGGCATCAACATAAATGTACTTTTACACGCAGTGTGCAAGGAAAACAGCCTACATTCAAGTCTGAGAGTGACATCCAGCACATGGCAAGTGTGTGCGCTCTTTTTTGTATTAAGGACTGCGTTAAAACAGAAAGCAGTATCTTCTGCACTTCTCATGGTCAGGACAACCTGAACAGTTCATTTAATAGTTTAATTTGCGGTGGTGTGTGAATTAAGTGAACTGACTGACTCAGCTGTAGGGTAGTGTTGTGATTAGTGCTTAGAAATTAGCGGTTTGGCCTAGGTTCCACGGCTGGGTCAGGCATGACTATTTCCATTTTCAGGTTTTGGACAGGCTTTCCATTTCCCAGCAAACTGCCTAGTAGAAGAAATCTTAACAGTGCTATTCAGGTAGTACAGCTAATTACATGTGGACTTTAGGGAAGGGAAAATAAAATAAATAAATAAAAAAACAAAAACAAAAAAACAAACCTTACTTGTTTATCCAGCAACACAATTTCAATAGACTTCATTTCAGCACAAAGTGTCTACTGAGACCCTCAAACATTCAAATTTTCAGCTATTTAGAAAATCAGTGACAACACTGCAGATCATTATATGCTCAAAGCAAATTACAAGCTCAGCCCACACACTTGCTTTCAAAAGCCTGAGGTCTGTTTCACACATACTGCTGCACATAATGAGCAACTTGGCAGCATGACTTAGTTTGCACGCATTGGTCATTTACACAGTGTTTGTACTGGTATTGCAGGTTTATACTGTATTACTGCTGACAAGCAATTTCTGGAGACATTTTTTCCTCAAAAGATGGAATAAATAAATATAAATAAAAATAAAAAGCAGATTCATAAACGAGCAGGTTGCATTTGTTTATTCTCTGCAGTATTCTGACCTACAACTGAGTAACCGTCTTCTACGTGGAGCTACTGGAAAAGTGTACAGAACTGTGCAAAAGTCAGAGACCATTTATTTAACTCATTAATTAACTTAAAGCTATTTATTTATTTAAGTCCATCCTTCCACTGTGAACTCCGCACTACAAGTCTGAAAGGATGTGTACCTGTCAAGAAGCCTCACTGAGAAAAGGACAGAAAAACAGACCAAAAAAAAAAACTGTGACTCAAACAAAGCAGCTACTGGTGTTCTGAGAACAATGGACTGACCACTCAACTCAGTCCAGACCTCAACATCACTGAATGTGTTCAGGGTTTAGATTGAGAGAAGCAGAAAATGTAACCAACTTCTTAGACTGAACTTTGTAGGAGTGGAAAAATATCCCTGCAGATTTCTTCGAAACGAAAGCGAGTCTCTAGAAAAAGAACAGAAGCTGCCGTAAACGTAGAGTGGACACTAAATACTGAAAAACGGACTTGATATTCAGTTGAGGCTTTTGTGTAATTGTCTGGTAAACATGTTTAAGCCTACTTTTCCTGATGCTGAAACATGAATTACTTAACTGATGTTTTGACTGGAGATTTCAATGAATGTATTGTGTGCGCTGCAACGTCTCATTCGATACATTTCCATGATTTACAGAATTCGTGCTTTGAAATTTTGTTTTCCTCTCCTACAGTTTTTTGCTGGGGGAGAAAAAAAAAAGAAAACAGCTTGACGCCTGTTCTTCGCATGTGCCACACCTGGGACACACAGCCGCGCTGCTCATGCAGTCGGTGTTAACCTGTTAACACGGGCACCAAAACAAAAAGCATGATCTGTGACGTTCACACCACGCAGAAGTACGTGTGAAACGGAAGACAGTAGCAGCAGCTTTCTTGAAGCATCAACCAGATCAGGGGCCAAAGCAAGACTACCAAACTGACAAACCACCGTACCACTAACTCAAGACTATAAAAACTGATGGCTCAGCTATACGAGCTAAAGTCAAGCTTAACCACAAGACGTCTTGCCATAGTCACCAATAAACTGGATTAGTAAAACCTGATAAACAGCTAATGAACTTCTCCTCAGACAAAAATTTAAATTCATGCCCCTCTTATGACTCTTACTTGCCAATGGGGGAAGAGGGTGACGATAAACAGACAAAAAAAAGGAACTGTTCAATAATTTAGGTGTAAACAGTCATTCAGAGCAGCCTGATGCACCATTCTAGATAAACCAGACTCAATTGTTCTAGCCGTGGTGATTGGGCAGTTAAGACATCTGGTTCCTGTGTCTCTAAAAGCTATTTCACAGGAAGTTATTATATGAAGTGGTTATGAAAACAGATTTTACAGCAGGTCTTTGTGTTTTAGGTTTAGACCTCAAAACAAACAAAATAGTAGCCAAAGAAAACTTGTCAGGACTCTGAAGTCGTGTATAGGTTCACTGGTCAATTGAGATAGCAAATAAAATGGCTATATTTGACATTGTGACCCCTGGTTACCATCATCACCACTGTAGAGAAATCCAAGTCTAAATTTATCTACAACAAAACATTTCAGATCAAACCCCTCTAAATTACTTTAACACTCAAGGATTGATTCTGAACGGTACGATTCTCCTTTAACTGCCTGCTACGGATGGATCCTCCCAGAAGGGCTGGTTTACTCATTCTTCAGTGGGGCAATAAGTTCATTAGGCTTGATAAACCTAAAATGTTGAGGGCATCTGCCACTATTATCTTTTGTAAAGCACAGCCAGACTTTGGACCCGTTTGGCTGTGTTGTGTTTGGGTGCATCTCTCAAGTTTTGCACACAAGGAGTCAAATCAGATGCCACATTAAAATGACAATGGTCTTTTGAAGTGATGCTTTTGCACCGAGCCACAAATCTGTTGACTGTTTACCAAGTTACATAAGCTAGAATTGTTCTGTCTGTTTATAGTATTCATAAATACCCACCATAATTTATCCTTATTAGTTCATTGCTTGGCAGTACTCTGAGTACCAGACAACCCAACCCTAACCGTCTTGTCTCAGACAAGTTCAAACGAACCACTTAACTCATCTGTGGCCAGACATTCTTGTCACAATGTGTATATTTTAAGCACTGAATAACTTCTGAACTCTTTCGGCCCTTTCAAAAGTACATACCTCCATTTTTGTCATTTTTCAGTTTTTGACATTATCTGAAAGGAACTATTGCACTTTACATTGGGTATAAATCTCATGATGAATGGACCAAAACAAATGGCGTAAAATGACCTGGAAAAAATTCTGGTTCCATTAACCTACATTAAAAGTAAGCGTATGTTTTTCTTTCTCCTGTAAAGTTTTGATTTTGAAGATACAAGGTTTTGTTCTGACAGCTGTGATATACTCAAAGTAACCACCCATAAATCATAAACAACAGAATAGGTGTTGTTTAATGTACCTGTTGAGAAAATACAACCAACTTTCCATTTATAAGACGTCTTGTTGTGATTAGCTGCAAGCAAAACCGGTTAGAGCGCACCACCAAAACGCCTAAACACTACTGAGCAGTCACAGCGAAGAGCTTCACGTCAAGCTCAGGACGGTGTGAATACCTTTGGGGCTCTTCACTCGGAGAGCTGCTCTGCGACCTCTGGGCGTTCTGGACGGTTCACTGTACTGGTGGTCCATGGCGTCCAGCTCCAAGCGGCGTTTAGCCTGAACAGAAACACGTTCAATATAAGCACATTACACAGAACTGCTCCCACACTCTAAACCCTGACTAGGCTGGAAAAGTGTGCTGCTAGTTTTAGCCTTAGAGCAAACAAAGCATCCCAGAACTGTGCCTGACTTAAAACTGGTCATCAAACTCATTTAACGCAGTAAACACTTCAGTGATGACCTCTAGTAGAAAATCAATATGCTTAATTCTGCGGACCCAACAATGGTTACGCTACAATGAGTGGCTTATTTTGGAATACAATGCACAGCAGCCTCGCTCCAGCTTTATCTGTAGCCACGCTGATGGAAAATCTCCATGTTCGTAACACATTTATGACGGACAAAAGTATCAGAGGTCCATTAATGACATTCGAATTCATCAGCATTGTTGGCCAAGCATCTGTCATCAGCTTCATTAGAACAAAACAAAGGGCAGCTCAGATTCACAGAGTCAAAGACATTTAGACAAGCAAATCAAGACCCTAATGATGTATCAGAAAGGTCATACACTAAGAGCACAGCTGGCCAGTTTATAGTCCACTTTGGCACACCGCGATATTGGTTTTCCCTATCAGCAATATCTTTGTGATATGTTTCCTAATTCATGATAGTGAATTTCACCAATATTCGCAAGCCATACACACAAAGATGGTTCAAGGGTTCTTTAGTCAAGGCAAAAGTTCTTTTTTAAACCATTTCATGCCCAAATGGTTCTTTGCATGGTGAAATAGTTCCTTAGATCATTAATACTGCACCAAAAAGGGTTCTACTACTGTTATATCAAGAATGTAACACAGAAGAACCCTTTTTAGTGCTATATAGGTCCATTTTCAAAAAGGTTCGGCATCAATCTGAAGAATCTTTTCACCATGCAGAGAACCATTAAAGCATGCAAAATGGTTCTATCCAGAACTCATGGTTGTAAATAGGACCATCAGTGTGTTCCTGAGAGAACCGCAGGAAACAGAGGCTGTTATACCTACTCAGCCCCTGCATTTCAAACACAACCAGCCTATATGCTGATGCCACTGTCTACACCATGTCTACCACTCATCACTGTGTTCTGATGGGCTCAGGATGGAGTGAGACACTCATCCACGACTCATCCCTGTTCATCAATCAGACAAAATGCACCAAAAGCAGCAGAAAGAGGACTCAAACTTAAACCCCCACGAAGGGAAGGTGCACAAAAAGACCCCATCCCCCCTCTAAACATTAGCCAAGGCCTAGGCTTCAGTTCACCTAACAAGGACTTGGCCATTTTCTTTCCCCTTCTTCTCCAAAACACATCCAAACACAAGCCTGGGCCCAATCCTCACTTAGACAGGCTGCATTTAGACATTTAGAAAGAAAAGTCTCTACTCTGTTGACTGGCTAATGTCTTTTCCTCAAGCTTCAGAGAAAAAGCCATTTGCTAGTCGACAGACTCGCAGTTTGCAACGTTAGCAAGGCTTTTATCTCATTTACACCGCGAAACGAGTCGCATATGAACTACTTTACAGTCTGAAGTTTAATTGGAATTTGCAGCCCAGAGTTTACTTGCGATCAATGTAGGCAACTGTAGCTCCAAACTAACCTAGTTAGCAAGCCTGACCAGGCAGCACAACAAGTGGACTGAAATTAGTAATATTCACACGCATTTAGTACTTAAAACAATAGATAAGCTTCATTAACTCCGACAGGCTATCAGTTAGCTACGACACTCTGATCAGCCAGCTGGAGTAAAAGTAAACGCATGTTTACAAACGAGGCTAAAGTTGGCTTCCTATTTGCCAGCTTTTGGCTCGAATTGTCCCGTTCCACCTTAAATGGTGCAGCAGTTACATTTCGGCGCCTTAGCCTATTTAGCTACCAGCTTGTTAGAAGTTATCCGTTCCACCTTAAACGGTGCAGCAGCAGTTATTATTGTTATTACGCCTCAGGCACTAGAATGTAACTGATACGCCATTTAAGGTGGGACGGGAAAATTCAAAGAGGAAGCCAACTTCAGAGTTGTTGTTGTAAACAACGAAGCTGTCCAGATAACAGAAGAGTGTTGGCGTTATTACCGGAGGTCGCCCTAAAGCGGGCCGGAGCTCTGCCCCGGCTGGAGGCCCCTGGAGGGGAGTTGTGTACAAACTGCCCACCGCGGGGTCAGATACACGGACCTCGGCGGGCTGCGAGGCGCAGGACGGCGGGGTGATCATCTGGATGTAAGTCGCCGAAGAATACGCTGCAGCACGGCGATCGGACGAGCTGTACAAACCGGCGGTTTGCTCGAGAGCTGAGCCGCCAAGCCCTGATATTATCGCCCGGTGCGGGGCCGAGGAGAGTTCCTTTCTCATCTTCACCCGCCCGAACTCTCCTTTGTGGCTCTTGTTGTTTGAGGTTCTTTTTCGGAAAAATCCTCAACGCAGTACCCGAAATAGTCACCAATACCGACGGAGGACAATCTTATTAACCTATATCTGCCGAGATGTTGGAATATCGACGCGTAAAAACGGCAGATGGAAACGATTAAAATTAAGAAGCGAACTTCTTCCTTAGGCGCTTAAAAATGGCTCCAGGAAGCGGACAATGAATGAAGGGATGCGGTTTACGCGCCAAACGCCCTCCCGCGAAACTCGGATTTCCCGGGAAATTTTTGAAATAAATTTGCATGCTCGACACCATTGGTCGTTTCGAGTGCAGTCTGCGCCGTGATTGGTCGACGCGTAGCCGTGTCAACCAATTGAAATGTAGAGGGCTGGGAGGGCTGCAGCTTTGGTGTAAATGTTCGGGTTGCCGTTGATATTAATACAAAATATAAGTACATGATAACTAATTTTGTGTATTTATAAATTGGTATTACAAATACATAATAATATATATACATTTAACACTATTACTGCACAATAACTATCATGATATTTACATTGCACAATCATTAAATATTATTACAAAATAATTATATTGTAACTCAATGTTAATATATAATATGATTAGACAATATTACTGCACAGCATGAATCAATACCCAGCATTAATTCACAAATTAATACTCTGTGTACATGCTTTTGAATAACATACATAATCTGTGATTTATAAGAACAGCATAATAATAATATTAATACTACTACTACTACTACTACTAATTATTATTATCATTACAATTATTATTATTATTATTATTATTATTATTATTATTATAAAACAGCAATGTCTAATATTTTGTTTAAATGTCTGCTTGTGCATCAAACATTTACACACAAAAGTATGCTAAACATTTATTATTTTTAGGAACGCTCCTTATAATTTTCCTAGTGGGTAGTTTAACCTAAAGCTTTAACCTTAAGTTCATAGATAAATAGGAAATATACCTGGGGAGGGACAGAGTGACTGTGTTCTTTCTTCTGTACTACAGCACACTGGATCAGAATATCGGCTTCAGCTCAAGGGTTTTTACATCCAGATTTGTTGTTACCAGAACATAAGAATCTTAGTCCTTTATACACGGTCCCTCAGTTTTGGGAGACCAACTTCAGACAAACTGCACTGATCATCAATTAATATGGCTGGCTCTGATTTTATTTTTTATCCAAAACCCACACTTGTACAAATGGAGAGTACAGTTTCAGTTCACTGTCCATCAGTAATACTTCCAGTATAAACATTATTTGCTCTTTAATGGGCCAAACTGGCATTTTTTTCAATTATTAAATCATTTAATAACAATAATCAAAAAAAGTGCTAGACTGAATGTAAGAGGAAATTTGCTATGTATGTACACTGAGTCATATAATTTATAACACAATAGTTTAGTTCAGGTGTAGCAGCAGTATTTAAATACACTCTGAGTGCTCTTACCTGCCTCACGTTGTTTACGTCATAAAATTGCAACACAGATCTGCAAAAAATAAACTGGCTGATTGCTTATCTTGTGTTCTGAGCAAAAACCTGCTGATTCTCATCTTGGCAGGTTCCGATTCTGTGTCCCTAAAATTACTATCATACAATTACGTTTAGAGTACTTCGCAAATCTTTTGCAAATGATGCTTGCCTGAAGTCCGCTGTGGCTTTTCTGCTGTTGAGGCTTATCAGGGGTCCGTATATTGTTGTATTCTTCTCTCTATGGTAGTCTTTGACACTTCATTGCCTACATCCTGGATTGTACTCTTGGTCTACTCAACAGTGCTTTCTTACTGAAATATTTTTCAGCCACCAACTGCTGTGGTCAGCTGTGGCCTATCAGGTCATTTACTGTTCCTTAATTCAATGGTTTGTTTCTGCTTCTTAATAATGCACCATACACTTTGGCATATTTAATGTTTTGGCATATCTAATGTTTTGGATTTATGAGTTACCGGTTTTCATGTTGAGAACTAAATGGACTCCAGATACAATAAAGCAAGGGTGCACAACTCCGGTCCTGGAGGGCCGGTATCCAGATTTGATTGAGTGGGGAAACTAATACACCCACTAAACCTGGCAGTTAACTTGAGTTGAATCAGTTGAGCAGAAAAATCATGAAATTGTGTGGACGCCAGCCCTCCAGGACTGGAATTGTGCACCCCTGCAATAAACACTTGACCAGTGTTTGCCATCCCTGATCCTTGAAGCCCACTGCCCTGCTCATTTTAGCGTTCACCCTACTTTAACACACCCATGTCAACTCAGTAAGGGGTTGTTAATGAGCTGATTAGTTGAGTGCAGTGTGTTGGGAGCAGGGAAATTACTCCACGTTTGCTGTTAACAGTGTTTAACAGTGGAGCTACAAGGCTAATGATGCTAACAAACACTAGAAGTCAATAGTCACCCAAATGTTTTCCATAAACACACCTCAAAACTTCTCTTAAACCGTTTCCAGCTCTTCATTAAGGTCACGCAGACTTGTCAAAATGGTTCAGGCTGACTTACTGTGAATTATAAAAATCAACAAAACTTCAGTGTAGCTGAACACAACATCATTTGTTGTTCAAGATGGCTGCCCATTGTGTTTAGCTACATGGTGAAGTTTTGCTCATTTGGGGTCCAGTGTTTGCTCACAGTGTTAGTTTTATAGCTCCAGTTCTAAACTAAAGAAGCACCAAACAAGTCTCGTCGAGGTACATGAACAACTGTGTAAATTAGATTTTTAATTGAGCCATTCTCTTATTCACCAGGGTATATTTTAGTTTGTCCATCTGAATTTACATGACCAAATCATAAGGCAAATTATTCAGTAACTGCATGAAATAAGTGTACTTTTTTTTCCCCTCAAATTAACAGAACATGTGTTTTATGATCACACATATTGCTATATGCTTACAATTTACTGCTGAAAGCCAAAAATCTTAGACGCTCTTTGTATTTTTTTATAAAAATAATTTTTACAGAGCAGATCACTGAAGAGACGCCATCTGTTTATAGTTTATAGCCCAGATTTGTGGAAAAATGGGTCGACTTTCAGTAGACAAAAAAATAGAGAGTTCAGCTTCTTTTATTATAAGGGTTTAAATTACATCACCCATCTATCTGACTGGAAAGAAGAGTTCCAGCTCTCATATGACCCCCACCTTTTGAATGTAGCTTATGAAATATGAAAGCTATGAAGAATATGACGAAGTGTGTTTTGGAACCACCGGTGGTCTCAAGGAGTTGAAAAGGTTAATTCCCTAAATAAAAGCTCATAAGAGGAACTTTTCTGGGACTGTTGTGCACTTCTGTGCACACATACTGTCTGTCCCCCACTGCTCATACACAACTGCCCTGTCTCATGACCTACGTAAAGCTATACCACTGTTCATTTTTTATTATTGACCCATATTGAGTGTGTTTACATGCACTTAATAATCCAATAACTGCAGAAAATCAGATTTTGTCAGTAATCTGATCAACGCGTTTACATGCACTTAAGTAACCAGATAATGGGAAACTCCAGGTCTGCATGAGTCACAGTAATCAGATTTCTGCTTTACAACCAGCCAATAAATTTACAAAGAACACGTGACATAAACTTAACATAAAACTTCACACCTCAGCTTTTTTTTTTTAACATTGCATCACTTTACCTGAAAATATGAGCATACATCATTTAGTAGATGAAGAATATTTAAATACTTCGTTTCATTTTTGAAGCGTCTCGCCACAACATTGCTTGGTTATTTCTGGTACAGACGTTTGTTCTCACACATGCAGACTGAGAAATCCAAAAAAAATCAGAGTAAGAGTTTAAATGCACCGAGAAATCTGATTACTGAGCTAAAATCCAGCCTCTTTATCGGATTTCTGAATCAGATTTCTAGATGGGAGTATGCTGTTCACATGACCATTTGAATAATTGGATAACTGCAGAAATCCGACTATGATCGGATTATTGAGTGCATGTAAACGTGCTCACTATCAATAGCAGTGTCAATGTAAATTTTGCACTCAAAACCTCCAGAAACATGACAAAACACATTAAATATGTTTTATTTAAAATGTACACAAACAGCTGCACCGACTCCACGGAACAAGCCTTCATCAATTTTAAGATGTCAACAGGAATTAAGGAATATCATGGCTAATTTGAAAAACAGATGAGGGAAAATTACTAAAACTTTTCAGTAAAGTTTGCATCGACAGTGTAGGAGTTTCTATAGAAACATAGAAATGTCTTAACAAATAAAAAGTCAGAAGTTCAGAGGTCCTTTGTTGGCCTGGGAGATAAAACCCAGAAAATCTTAATCATCATCATCAAATCTGATCTTTTTCCCTTGGAAAGCTGTGATTTGAGACTGCTGCTCTTTCCTCTTCTTACTGGCTTCCCACGAGGGATGCAGGGCCTGTTGGGAATGTTGGGGAGGCTTGAAAGGTTTGCCAGGTGCACCTTTGTAACTCTGGGTGCGTTGCTGCTCAAATGCAGGTTTGCCCATCCTTGCTTCAGCAGCACCCATCTGCCTCTGACCAGGAGCTTTGGGCCCAGCCGCTGAAGGCCTTCTGTCAGTTCCAGGGCCCTGGCTTTTAAACCAAGTTGGTTTCCCATCTCTCTCTGCATATTTCTTCTGGTTCTGGAAGCGTGGAGGCTTTGGACCCTGTGGTTTCCCCTTCTGTGAGGCACCACTAGATTTGGACAGGGTGGAGCAGAAGACTGACTGCATTTTGAAGTCCTGAGACGTGCCCCTGGCCTCTTCAGCATCCTGTACTTCAGCCGCTGGTTTTGGCTCACTGGTTTTGTCCTTTCCAGGTCCGGAGCTTTTCTTTTTCTTCAGCTTGCTCACTTTGCCGAGGAAGAAGTCGTCTTCATCACTGTCCTCAGAGAGAGAAGACTGCTTGTGGAAACGTTCCTCTGTGCTGTCATCAAAATACTCCTTCTCCTCCTCCTCATCGGAGGACTCCAAGTCACTTTCTTCTTCACCTTCTTTATTCTCTGGCTTCTTGGTTTCAGGTTTGATGTCTCGTTTTGATGATGGTGGTTTCTTCACTGGTGTTTCTGTGGTTTTGGCAGGCAGACTATGGACAACGCCTGCTGAAACTGGCATTTTAGCAATATTTTTTAGACTTGCTGAAGGTACAGCTTGTTCAGTCACTCCTGCTTCTAATTTAGTGACAGGCGTTTTCTCTTTTGTCGATAATACTACAGTAGCAGATCTGATGTCCTCTGGCGGCTTTACGACATGAGACCTCTTATTCACATTCAAAGTCTGATCTTCATCCATTTCTTTCTTGTTGTCTCCTGTGTTATCATCATCATCATCATCATCGCTGCCATCAGAAGCTGTCCCACCCTCCTCACCTTCATCTTCATCCTCCTTCTCCTCCTCATCATCTGAATTGCTCCCATCATCACCACTATCATCAGCCATCGTCTCCTCTGCATCCTTATTTTTCTCTTCAGCCTTTTCAGCCTTAGTCCTCTCTTTTTCAATAGCGTCTCGGACATCTTGGAGTTTCTTGATGAAGCATGCGTGTGTGGCGATCCGCGCAGTGGCTCTCTCCAGTGGACTGGACTGTGGGTTCTGGAACACTTCTTCCACATCAATGTTCCCCTGAAGGGCTGATGTAGTAACATCGTCAGGAAAAACATTCCTCAAAACTTCGACTTCCTTTTTGAAGTCTTGCAGCGCACTCTCGGTTCCCTTTTAGCTCAGACTCTTCACCCTTCATCTTCTTCAGACGGGTAATCTGCTGGGTGAGCTTCCGGATAATCAGCACCTTCAGTTTCTTTACCTCTTTCCTCATCCTGACCACCTCAACTGGTACGCTGTCTGCATGTGTTGATTTCTGTAAGCAAAATAAAACAAAAGAAAGTTGTTCAGGAAAACAGCAAGTGAAAATATCCTTTGCAGCAGCTTAGTTCTTAGGCATCATGTGTAAAGTATAAATCCACTAACATGAAAAAAAATACAGTGAATACGTGTGATGGTCTGAGAATCAAAGTGGCTATTATTAAATCTTCTTATCCCAAATCATTAGGGCTGAGGGGACTGATCGATGGAATCGTCCTAATCGACGTCATCAATTACGGAAGTATATCGATTTGCATAACATGCACCACTATGAAGTAAGATGCCTGCCATGAATTCCCCCAGAGAACAAGCTGCAGATTTTTTTTTTTTTAAAAGAGTATTAGATAAGAGACCCAGCAATGTGGTGCTCTGTAAGCTCTGCAAATTGGAAATGGCTGATCATTTGCACCACAAAGCGAAAGCACCCTGGAGCGCTTTGCCAAGACAGCAGCAACACAGCACCCTAAAGGTCACTGCACAGCGCATCGTCACATTATTGAGCGCTGCTACAGAGTGCTGACAGAGAGAGCTGATAAACTCCAGGTTCAAGTTCATTTTTACACTCTACTCATATAAACTGAGTGAAATAAAACATTCCGCATCACTTATCACACTTGGCATCAGTTTACTAACTAGCATCCTCACAGACTGGCTGTTTTGGAGCTAAAAGATATGAGCTGAAAAAGGCCAGGACAGTAACGCTGGCTGAGGTGACTTTCCGTAAGCATTTATCTGTTTACCTAAAAAACTGACTGTCTCTGTGTAAAGTGTGTGAAATGTGATCGACTGTGGTCTTAAAATGGCTTTAATGTAATGCAGTAATGGCAAACGCTGAGTGGCGCACTATGACGCGCTGAAGAACTGAACAGTGCTCGGCGTCACGGCATGTTATTACAGTGATTAAATAAATTCATAACTATTTTAAGTCAAATACTTAAGTAAAAATACTGATTCTCTAATTCAGGGAAAGGGCTCCTGTGACACTATGACAGTGATTAAAATGCAAAAGTTTGGGGCCCCATTTCATGTGAAAATCAGTGAGAATAAATACACATTCTCTACACAGAACACACTTCTGCACACGTGAATGCATAGTTGCTATTTATTTGTTGAATTTAATATGTAAATGTAGCCTGTTTTTAAAGTTATGGCACATTTTATATTTTATGGTTTATTTTTCAAGTATGTTACACTCAATCAAATAAACAGAAATTGTGCAATAAAATTTACAGAAAATTCCAGTATCAGCCTATATTCCAGTAATAAAAATATTCTGCTTTGTTTTTGTCCTAAAGTTATACTTGAAGTCATTCTTACCAACAACTTTCTCTCTCTCATCAGGGAGTTATTGCTCCTGGTTTGTATTTTCATTTATTTATTTTTTAAAGACAGTAATAATGGACAGTGCATAATCATTTATAAACGTTAGAAACAAAATCTACCTTCTTGAATTAAAATTTGAAAAAAGTTTAAACTGCCAAATTGTACTGCCAAAACAAAAACTATTGAAAATGATGTGCAAATTCCCCTTTTGTTCAGGCAGGGAATGAAACCTCAGTCTCAAACAAGCAGGGCGGTGGTGTTATCCACTACACTACGGCAACGAGCATCAGTCTACTGTCCTAAATAGGACTGTTTCACCTTCAGCAACTGTTACTGTTAGAGTGATGTTTTACATATAATATTTATTGAGTACAGTGTTAGAAATAAAGGTTCTGTGCAGGTACATTTTTCATTTGTCAAGGTACAAACAATGTAAACGTACCTTCAAAGGTACAACAGTGGTTTAAAGCCCCAATTGTGCACCTTAAATAAGTTTTTTCCAGGCCTGGAGACGAGACGGGGTGTGTGGAGTCAATACAATGTAGAAAATATAATTTCAATGGATTATGGTACAATTATGTTCCCTGACTAAAGGTACTGAGATGTACCCTTGAGGGAACCACCCCAGTGACAGTTTAGTACCTTTATTTCTGAGAGTGTAGTGAATGGAAAATTGCACTCAATTATTTTCTGGTTAATATTACTCTACATAACGCTTTACTTCTCTTCTGTTGTCTTGTTTCTTTTCATGGAAAATATAAAAAGCCAGCAAAAATACAAGTTTTGGTCTGCTATAGTCAAAGGATTTACTATGCAGATTTAGTGCAAAGAGCCAGGCTGTGTGGTTAATACTTTTTCACACAGTGTAAACAAACAGTGCCTTCATTTGTAAGGGATAAAGACTGGTCAGAAACAGCCATGTAAAAATGAATTACGACTGATTTTGGAACACACACCCACACATATTTTGTAAGTGGACATCAAAGAAAACAATAAAATGGGCCCTTTACTGATCTATTACTGTTAGCATTTTCACATACACTAACCTCTTCTGCATCCTTCTTCTGGGTCATCTGAGAGGGACCATCATCTCCCTCCTGTTCTTTTTCATTCCTTTTCCCAGCCTCTTCCACGTCCTCTTCATCATCGCTGTCTTGTTCTGACTCACTCTTTTGCTGGATGATGCCTTTAGATTCCTTCTGTGTCTTTTTATCAGCCTTTGCTGTGCCTGTTCTTTCTGCTTTGAAGGCTTCGATGGCCTTCTTGATGCTCTGGATTCTTCTGCTAAACTGTGGGTGTGTGGCGACGCGTGCTGTGGCGCGCTCGGAAGGGCTGGCTTCTTTATTCTGGCACACCTTCTCAAAGCTGATGTCCTTCTGCAGGGCAGCTTTGGTGATGCTATCCGGCGCCAGGTGCTTTAACTCTCGAATCTCCTCAAGCAACCTCGCTACTCGCCTCTGGTTTTTCTCCAAGTCGGCCTCCGTTCCTTTCTTTTTCTTCAGAGCAGCAATTTGTCGTGTGAGCTTTCGGATGACCAACACCTTCACCCTCTTCACTTCAGCCCTCATCTTGACCACCTCATTGCTGAGGTTTAGTGCTGCTGGTGCTGCCATGTTTCTCTGATCTTGATGGAGACTGCAGGGGGAAGGAGATCAGTATGTTAAAGTTGCATCCAATAAAGGCAGATGACACACGCAACTGTCGAATCAAATCCTTGTATCTCTCCAGCTGGCCTTTACATTGTTTAATGATGAAGGGAAATGGTCAATAATTAACTGTTGCATTAACTTAGCGTTTGTTTATACTTGTACTTCTGTGGCTGGTTTGCACACATACAAGTGTCAAAACAGCATAAGAAACCCATCAGCGGTCTGTTTATTTGGTGTGACTCAGAGTTCAGATGGCAGTTTTCTCACTTGCTCTAACAAACTGTACTAATAGACCATTTGCACCAGTGTTCGTTTTATTCTAACCAAATCTGTCAAGTCTAAACAAACCCTTATATTAAAGTCAACCTGAAATTTAAAAGACGAAAATCTTGTTATCTTATAATCTTTGTTCAAAATCTAATGTCTTTTGCTCGCCTCTAAAACGTCTTCAGATTTTTCATTATGTCACTGTGCACTAGCAGTTGGGTAAATAATATTAACCAATAATATCACCTCCACCTCCCAACACCCCCACCCATCATCCAAAGAAAATGCTGAGCTAACTCAGAGACCCCAGTGATCGCTCAGAAATACATCATTGTATGGAAGGGAAATGCAATATGATTTCAAGTTCTCAATGACTAAGAATGTTTCTCCTTTTTCCACAAATTATCATTTTTAACATCATCTATTTTATAATTACTGGCATTATTATGACATGGCGATAGCGATACTTAATGTGGGCGTTAAGTGTACATACATAACAGTTGTGTCCCCAACTCCCTAGTGCAGGGCTTCCCACTCCCAGTCCTCGGGGGCCCACACGCTGCACATTTTTGTGTTTTTCTTCAATTAACACAACGGACTAAACTCATTTAAGGGCCCACATAATAAGAAACTCGTTTTTCTTCACTTTGTTTTAGAATAAAAGAGTCTGAAATAAAATGTTTAGATATTGTATGTAAATACTGTCAAAGCTTCAAAAAGTACTGTAAAAAGTACTCATTCCCCAGTCCATCTAACCCATATATAAAAATAAACTGAAAAATCAGCCCATTTTGAATTCACTGGTTTTGTAATGTTATGAAATACTAAACAAAATACTGTACATTCATCTGCCAATTCCACCTACAGCAACTTTATTCACGCTAAAGTTACACGGAGTGTTTCAGCCTGGATGGCTTTTTGAATGAGATGCAATGCGAAGGGCAGCCAATCAGAAGAGAGAATGTTTAAAAATCAAAGACTGATCTTTGTTTTTTCAAAGGGATAAAGAGAAACAATCCGCCTTAAAATGTAATAAAGACACAGCTATATTGCTTTCAACAGTGCAGTGCTTAAAATAATGGATCTTTCACTTTTCATTTTGAAACGTTTTCCACATGTTAGTGTTTAAATGCAATCTTGTGTGTACATTGCATTGCACTGTTTTGGTTGCATTTCAGTGAGGCATTTGAAGTACAAACAAGAGGTCAAGCAACGTGAAAACGACGTAAGAGGCTCTGCTTTTCATTATGGCACGTACTCTGCATGGCAGTATGGAAAAGTAACGTCATGTGTGCATTACATTTCACTGTTTTCACTGGTGTAACTGCATTTCAATGAGGCAAATCCGTTTAAAGCATTGGACAGTGGAAAGCAATATGGTCTCGCCTACATTACATTTCCAGGCGAGTTGTATGCAATTCTGACAAGAATCCAGCATTTCGTTTTTCATGAAAGAGATGTGGCGTGAAAACAATGTAATGGAGAGTCTGTTTTACACTTTCGCATGTATTCTGCACGTCACTGTGGAGAAGTAATGTCGTGTGCACTGCATTTACAGTCTCTCCACTGTAGTGACTGCTTTTCAATTTGGCACCAACTCATCTCCATTCACTCGAGCCATTTAGGAAAACGTACTCAATACGTTAAAACATACTACGTTAAGTCTTTTAATTAGTGGAAAAGGTAGTTTTAATACAATACAAATCCCACTTTTGGTTTAAAGGCGTCTAAATCCCTCTCTGCTCAGTTTTGAATAACACCGTGCAGAGCGGCTGCCATGCTGTTCCACACTGGCGCTGTTTATGAGCGCAGTAAGGAGGCTTTTGGGCGTTTGTCTTGAACATCGAAGTAAACGCGAACAGCTAATTTCCGAGCCAGATTAATTATACACAAAAAGCTGAGCTGTAATGTGTTTTTACATACCTTTAAACCACAAACGTTACACTCGTGCGTGGAATAACTCTCGCCCAGGGCGCCGCCATCTTTCGCTTAACGGACGTAAAGAGGGGAGGGACGCGTTGACGTCATCGCGCTCTCGAGCGTACGTTGACTTGACTGAAAGGGAGTGTTTTTATTTTTTATGTCTTTGTTTCTACTTGAGCTTAAATAATGTCATCTTTGCAGCTGCAGAGTGATGCGGCTCGGCGTTGAGGCGCTTACATAACCCTCTTTTCCCCTCTTTATCGTAACGAGCACGAAAGACTTCATTCAGCTCGAAGAAGTTTATGGTGGGAGAATGAAGCGGCGCAATGCGGACTGCAGTAACGTTAAGCTCCGTCGTCCGTTAAAACGGAACCGAATCGCCGAAGGGATCCAGAGCAGGTACCGGAGAACCGGGGCTTTCACCTGGGGGGGCTTTTACCGGGGCGGCACGGCCTCTTTGAACCGTGCCAGCCTCCCATATCCCTCCACAATGCCATCCTCATGCCAGCTGTCAAGCCCAGATAGGTTAAAGGTGTTGTAGGCGCTTAGGCAGCGACCCTCCGGCCTGTCTGTCACAGCTTTAGCTTTAGCCTTTAGCCCTTCACCCAGCGCTGTAAAATCACCGACGACTGGCTCGCACAGGTTTGGTTTCACGTTTAAATGTCTTACTTGCTGTAAACTACGTGGCTACTGTCGGAATAGCAGCCTTAATCAGGGTGGACCGGGCTTAGTTGGCTGCTGGCGTGTCATACATGGCTGTAGCTAAGCTAACGCTAGTGTTACTGCAGCCTATGAGGAGCTGACTGACTGACTTAACGCTACCATATGTTGGCACGACTAACTTAAGGACTAGTTAGCCAAACTGCTTTAAAAAATAGGGTTTACTTAGGCCTTAATGGGGGATTCCACCAGTTTTTCAAAATTTCTGAATGATTCAGTCCCTGAGATGTAAACAGTCATTCAGAGTGGTTTGGTATGAAATGGTTTATTATAGAGAAACATACTGACTCAGATTTCCTTACAGTGGTGCTGATAGGAACCAGGAGTCACAATGTATACAACACAAATTTAGCCATTTTATTTACTATACAAAACTTCCTATGAACCTACATGTGTCTTTTAAGTTTATATATGTCATGATGGTAGTCATAAATCTGAACGAATAAGTTTTCTTTGGGGACTAGTTTGCCTTACAACGCCCTGCATGTACCCCTCCACTATTAATGGGTTAATATAAATTGATTAAATTATGCATTAGACCAAAACGTTAGCACAAAACTGCTATAAAACAATGTCTCAAGCGCCAGGCAGCGTACTCTTAAGTATTTCGTGTAATAGCTTTCTGTGAGGGATCTTTTCGAGGCATTAAACTCCTCAGACGTCTGGTTCCTATCACCACCATGGTGAACAGTTCTGACTCAGTCAGTTTCCTAGAACTAAGCATTTCACACCAAACCACTCGGAATGGTTTTGTTGATATGTCAAACATTTAATTATGTAGAAGTTTTGAAAAGTCAGTGGAGTTCCTTGTTAATTTCCTTCAAGGCTTATGAGACACCTGTTACACACATACACATTTGCCCCATAAAGTGTTTGGACTCTTTCATGACCATTGGCAACTTAACTGAAGTTCTTTAGGTTGTTTCATAAAACGTTCAACAAAATGATTCTTGTTGCAAAGGAAACACTTTTGGCACAACATCAAACTGATGATAGACTCTTTATGTGGAGAAAACCTCAAGAAGCACTCCAACCAGACTGATGGGGTCATGAACTGAATTTTGGATGCAAACCTGCAGAAATCTGCAAAGAAATAACCAGCTGCCTTTTGAAAGAATGCTTTGCAAAAAAAGAAAAAGCTCTGTTTTAAATAAATGCCATTTAAATGCCATCACACTGAGAACAATACATTTCTAAGTATGGCACAAATTTCTTTACACTTTTTGGGGCCACTGTGTATATGACGTTTATGCGTTCTGATGTTCAAAAAGTTTTGAATTGTGGTGTAGTACACAGGAACAAGATCATCTGAACAACTGTCCCTGTATTTAAGAAACTTTTGTAGACTGCTTCAAAATTCTGAATTTTGTAAACATACATTGCACAATAGCACTTACCAGTATTATCTGTTATCATATGTTAATATAGATCCTACTAATCTGAATGTCTTTTCTGATGTAGAGCTGCCGTAAATAGGTTTTTCTTTTTGTTTCCTCTTAGATTGTGAACTCATGCAGTTGAAGCCCATGAACAGTTTAGCTCCTTTTTTACTCTTACAACAATAGTTTTTAAATCCAGTGTTGAGAAATGAAAATATGCCTCAATTAACTTGGTGTGAACGTGATATAATGATTCCCATAGAACTGCTTGCAAACTGTAGCATTGCTGTAAAACTAGAAAACACATAAAAAAGACTTGTCAAAAGGAAAAGGCAATACATTATAAATGATCAGATGTTGTGCTCTGCAAAAAAATATATAGTACCCAAAATGGTTCTTCTGTTGTTACAGTGTCAAACTTGTAACAGTGGCAGAACCCTTTTCATAAAGGTTCTATATAGAACTGTGCATAGCACATTCATGCACATTCTCCATGAGTCTGAAAAACCCTTTCATGATGCCAAAAACCCTTTAATCATGCAAAGGGTTCTTTGAGTGTTCATGGATCTATATAGAACCATGTTGTTTACTAAAGAACCCTTGATGCACCATCATTTAAAGAGTTTAGGCTCAATAACTGGTGCCATTTCAATGTGAAGATGAAACAGATCCTATTTCTCAAGAAGCTTTCCGCCAGAATTTTGCATTTTCTTTTGTCTCTAAACTGTCTTTATTTCCTGAATAAACAATTCTTACTGCCTAGATTTATGTCTATGTAAATATACACAGTTGGTGATGATGGTGTCTCTTGACTCAACATGTTTCTGCTCTCCTTCTAATATGATAATTGTGTCCTTGCTTGCACATTTGCACCATTGGCAGTGTTGCTTGGCACTGTTGCCCAGTTTTGTCCATCTTCAGTGTCTATTCGCTCCAAAATGCAAGTGTGCTGGTTTGCTGAGGCTTTTCCAGTGACATGTTCAGGCATGTCGAGAAGCTGCCTTGCAAATGAAGTTTAACTGTCTTGAAAATTCTGTCAGTTATTGGGCTATTACAGATTTGCTTGGCCTCTTATCTGGTCATGGACTGCAATTTATTCCTGCCGTCCCTGAAAGCGTATTAACTGGCGCAGCTTGGACATTCAAAATGTAAATTCTACAACAGTATGCAAAAAAGATCAGCTTCTTTTAAGGCACGGAAGGGTTTAACCACTATACACAAGTTACTCTGCAGTGGTTTTGTATGTGCGTCCAAGATGTTACTCACATATAGAAGAGCTTACTGAAATCATTGAGACACTGTGCAGAGCAAATACTTTGCCATTATAATGTGTTTGACTCTGATCTGTCTGTCTTCCCCTATATTTTGCAGCACCTTCCTCTACCTGAAGTTCCTTCTGGTGTGGGCTTTGGTGCTGCTGGCAGACTTTGTGCTGGAGTTCCGGTTCGAGTACTTATGGCCCTTCTGGCTCTTCATCAGGAGTGTCTATGACTCCTTCAGATACCAGGGACTGGTGAGTGCCATCTCTTCACCAAAGCAGGAGACCTCAAGCGCAGGCCTCGATTTGTTCCTTGATTTTCCAAAACGAAAGAAATCTCAGAATGCTGGTATTTTTCTTCCTCAACTCCAAAGACCAACAGTGATGTTCATTGCCATTGTGATGATCTTCACATTACCAGAATATAAAAGTCAGAGAAAAAGCAGGCGTCGCTCCATCTGTCTTATCATTTGTTTACATCACAACAGAATGTGAATTGTTTCATCACTTGGACTGAGGCAAATACATGTTTAAAGTTATATAATAAAAGAAAGCATAAGACATGTTGGAATGCAGCGATAAAATATGATAATTCCTAAAATGTATGTAGTTGAAAATGGTAAAGCAATGAGAATAACTTGGACTTTTACCCACTTCTGCGCATCGTTTTTTATCAATTTGATAGGAAACAAAGTTTTGTTTACGAAACTAAACAGTAACAAGTTAGCAGTAGAGTGCAACAGCAGCACATCTAGAGAGAACAAGATAATCTGCACGTCGCAAAAAACGATGATATATGATTAGTTTTTTTTTCATGTCAGTCAAATGATCCTTTCCAGTAGTCGAAAGTAGGGCTGTTTGGTTCCTAATTGTCTGTGTTAGAGCTCTGATTTAAGGCGATAATGTCAGTTTTAATCACCCAGAGCAGTTTAAATGCTTTTCCTGCCGCTCCACATTGCTAGCTAGCATGCTCTCCACTGCATTTGTTTCTGAGAATAATAATCATGATAATAATAATAATAACAAACTCTAACACAGAATGTTTATTTTTCATTTAATCATTAAAGTGAAACGTGTATTTTGAGCTTTTCTTATTTTCGTAGAATATTTGAATATTTAAGAATGTTCGAGTATTTGATTGACTATTCAGAAATGAAAATATTCAGTAGTTTCAGCCCTGGAGACGTGACATAGGACTTATTAAAATGACAAAAGAACTTCTGACAATGGCACATTTAGAGGGAACCCCTGAGTAGATTGTATATTTGGAAGTTTCTCTTTGTTAACTAACACTTGTAGTTGAAGCCCATAGACAATTTAGCTACTGCTTTACTGCTTCACTTTAGTTTTTTGGTGATAAAGTCATAAATAACTATAAGTGCACCAAAATGTAAATGAGATCGACATGTTCTGTGAGAATTATCACTCTGTAAAGAGTTTGCTAAGGTGGCTTTACCTAGTTAGGCAGCTAATGCTAATGTTATTAGCATTTAGCAGTCCCTTTTAATATTGTCACTACAACCATTCCAGTTGTCTCTCAAGCCAGTGAAACATGAACTAGAGCTAGAATCCTAGGTTTCGTTGGTTCCTGTTTGGGTCAGAGCATGTTTTGATGCCCCAAATTTACACGGTCCTTGTTAATAAACCATGAACTTTAAACTTTTATTATGTATTGGCTCAAATATTCAGGATTAATATTTACACTTTTCACTGTCTTTTAATTGAATACCATAAAGCCGATGCAAT